TTAAATAGTAGGTCTGTTTAGCCCCCTACAGTTACCCATGTAATGCTCACATTAATCAGCGGTTCTTCTAGAACTCCTTATCTAGACCCCGATAGTTAATATAGCTACGTACAACTTAATTAACACTCCAGGCATTAATCAGCGGTTCTTCTAGAACTCCTTGTCTAGACCCCGATAGCTAATATAACTTCGTACAACTTAATTAACTCTGAAATCATATACATGGTTAACGTAACTGAGTACAACTTAAGGTAAGGTCAAGCGGTTAGTCAGAAATCTAGAATCTCACCTGATGCGCCCCATGCTTCATCTAATCTGAGATCTAGTATGTACGTAACCCTGGTCGCAGATTTGCGGAAACATACGCCTTCACTTAATCTACTTGAGGAAATAATTTCAGAGTAAATCAGAATAAGTCAAATGTAACAATTTATTATCAGTCAGGTAAATATGTATTATGCCAATTATCTCCACAGCCAATTCAACGATATCAAATCAATACAAGACATCAAATTCTCAAAGACGAATCTAAGAGTAAAATGCATACCTGACCTTTTTAGAAAAATACATAGTGTGAAGTGTGTGGAGACACTCCATACTACGGGCTCTCTGACTACAGAATCCCGCTGATCCTTTTGCTGCAATCCTTTAAATACAAAACCAAGATAAAAACATCCCCCAAGTGGAGGCATGTACCAACAATTGGAATTTACATTTAACCCAGGTCCCAAACATGACTGTAAATCTTATTTGCATTCATATAGAACACTATATTCTTGACCATTCTGAGTGAATCCAGTGGAGGGAGGAGATGAAAAGGCACTGATGCATATGTGAGAGAGGCGTTTCCTGCACCACCCCTCTGTGGGGTGTCTTGAAGATGCCAGTGTATTGTTTGTTTTTCAGGAGATCAAAGTATCTGAGTTTCTTTTATCCTTACAAAGCTTACCAGTGTTTTCAGAAAGCAAGCGCGTTTATCCACAGTGGAGAGAGAGCGCGTTAACATAGTTGCCAGGTTGACAAAAATAAGTAACACACTTAGCAGATATTTCCGTATTGCGCAAGTGTGAAGATCTGTGTTGGGGATTCAGTCTCTTTATATCAGGCAACCCCGGTTGTGTTCCTGTGCACATGGTTGCCAGGTTGACAAAGATAAGTAGCACACTTAGCAGATATTTCCGTATAAGCTCTGTGTCGGGGATTACGTCTCTTTATATCAGGCAACCCCGGTTGTGTTCCTCTGCGGCCAGATTAAACCTTGCTGTAGCCTATATATTATGCTCTATTCATTATATTTTTTAGAAACCTTGCACTTTTCTACTCCATTTTAAATGGTGTTCTTGTATTCAAATTAAGCACGGTCCACTGCTGCACACGTGCCACAATATCGATACAGAGACAGCTGTCAAATCTCTGTGACGATACATCGTATTATCGATGTACCGAACACAGCACTACTCTGGATCAGTGTTGCCAATTTAGCTACTTTGTAGCTAGATTTAGCGACTTCCCCGCCCCTTTTGAGACTTTTTTCAAAAGTTTAGGAACAAATAAAACAACTTCTTGGACAAACC